CCTCGTGCGCGCGCTACCGCCGCCCGCTCCGCCTGTTCGAGCCCTTCGAGGTGCGCACCCGCCTGCTGGGCTGGGACGACCGCGCCTTCTACCTGGAGGCCCGCTTCGTCAGCCTGCGCGACGGCTTCGTGTGCGCCCTGCTGCGCTCCCGCCAGCACGTGGTGGGCGCCTCGCCGGACCGCGTGGTGCAGCACCTGTGCCAGCGAAGGGTGAGCGGCCGGCCCGGCGCGCGCCGCCGCCCCGGGGGCCCGGGCTTTCACCCACCGGCGCCCGGGACCTCTGAACCCGGCTCGTGGGGTGCCCCCTCCATCCCCACTTCCCTCTTCCAGGACCGGGGTCTCCCCCCCAGGAGATCTGAGTCATGGTGCGGTGTGGCCTGGAGGGCCCAGCCACCCTCTCTGGGCTCCAGTTCCCAGCGTGGGGTGCAGCCGGGGCGCAGTTAGCAGTGGTGGCTAGAAGTCCTGGGGACACACTTTGAAGCGGTCTGACCACCCCAGAGGCCCGCAGGCCTTTGTCCTTAGGGAGAAAGTTCTGCTGGGCACCAGTCGGGCCCCGAGGGCCCTCCCCTGGGCTGCCCCAGCCCCGAGCCAGGGCCAGCCGCTGCGGTATGGCAACCATGGCCCTGGGGAGGACCAGGTGGCGGTGGTTGCCACGGCAGGCTCTCTGGAAGATGCCAGGCGTGCCCAGCCGCCAGTCCACCCTCTGGCCCCAGGTGCAGCCTCGCAGCAGTCACCAAGGCTCACGGTCGAGGGGGACAAGGCCCCGAGGTGATGGGCCCTGGGTGGAGACCTGGCGGAGGGGGGGATTCCTACCCTCTGCCGCATGCCAGGGGTGGCTGGGAGTCACCCCAGCCCAATGTCAAGGAGATCATGGGAGCGAGGCTGGCTGGGGAGGGCCTGGTGGCCCTAGGCGTGGAGAGGTCAGCATGAGTGTGCAGCTCAGCCCTGTGAGCCTGGCCGTCCCTCCCGTCCTGGCCTGGTGTCCGCCCACTTGTCTGAGGTGCTGGGCGTCTTCCCAGCCTCCCCCATGGCAGCAGCTCTCCCCGGGAAGGCCTGAGTGGGGAAGGGATGGAGAGGACCCGCTCCCAGCTGACTTGGGAGTCCAGGCCTGGTGCAGGAGAGGAGGAGAAGAGCTCAGACAGCTCCATGCAGCACCTCGCTGGAGGCGGGCCTCCCTGGCCAGACCTCTGTCTCTGCTTCCTCCCCTTCCGGGCAGCAAGTGTCCTGGGCCTTCTGTAGCCACTAGCCCCTAGGGCTCCTGCCTGGTTATAGGAGAATGGGGAGGGGGGGGTCAGCCTGGTACCAGCAAGTTGCATGGCGAGAGGAAGGTGGAGATGTGCTGGGGGAGGGACAGTGGGCACGGGGTGGGGCTCTTGGTGGGCCAGGGAGCAGGAGAGTGGCTCAGGCAGGGACACAGCAGTGGAGGAAATGAAGCCTCCTTACCACAGGGCGCGAGCTTGCTGGGCCTCACCCCTCCCCTCTGCAGGTGGAGCCCCCTGACCTCCCGGAGGACCTGCAGCACTGGATCGCCTACAATGAGGCCAGTAGCCAGCTGCTCCGCGCCGAGAGTGGACTCGGAGATGCCACCAAGGACCAGTGACGCTGCCTCTGCACGCCAGCTCCCCTGACAGCAGGCCTGGCGGGCTTCTGGCTGGACCGGCCTTGAGACCAACCCAGGTCCCCTCGCCTGCTTGACTCCCTGTGCCAGGTCCCACGCTGGTAGCTGATGAGATGGCATTGGTACCCTGGCCCCCTCTGCTGGGGTCGGAGGGCGCAGGGCCCTGGCCGTCCCTGTAGTGAGGCCCCGGGGGAGGAGGAGCCTGGAGTCAGTTGTGTGTGGCCAGGGCAGGCCTGGCACGCGCTGGGTCTCTGCCCCTGAGTCGGAGATAGTGATAGCCAGGAAAGGGCCACCTTAGAGCCAGGCACGCTGAGGCCTGGAGTGCCCAGAGCCTCTGAGAACACGGAGCCAGATGGGAGCTGGGCCCGCTTGACAGTATGTCAGCACTGAGGCGCAGCCCGGGCGTGGGGCTCCCCTGCCTGTGCCCGACACCCGCTCTGTCATCCAGGGAGGGACGGCATCTGGAAGCTGCCTCCTTGCTGTCGCGCTGGGAACTGCACCTGGAGCGTCCCTCGCCTGCATCCCCTCTCCATGCTGCTCTTCTCACCCTAGTGCTAAGGGAGCTGCAGTTGTTCTCTTTTGTTTATGGAAAGCACACAAGTAAAGAGTTTTAAAGTGTGTGGGCTTGGACTTGGGGGAGTTTTTGTTTCTGAAGCTGTGCCCCCCCAGACCCATCCCCCCAGAGTGTTGTGGTGACCAGGTTTGTCCCCATTCTGCACATGACCGATGCCCCAGGGAGGGGGTGCCCCAGGGCCCCACCAGCCTTCCTGCCTCTCCCTTTCCCCAGCACCTGAATCTCAGCTGTCCACACTTTCTGCTTCCTTCCTTGAATCTGGGATGGCTCTGGGAGGTGAGGTCCCCAGGCCCCCAACGTCATGGGACAAGGTGGGGGGGTGGAGGCCAGCCCACAGACTCAGGGTGGGGGAAGAAGGACCCCCAAGGTTGAGGCAGGTTGTGGGAACAGGGGTCAGAGGCAATGTGGCACAGGGCCTAGCCCTGTGGGGCAGAGAGGGGGCAGGGAGCCAGTGGGGGTGAGAGACAAGGGTGGAGTGGAGGGTGTGGTTGGGCCGTGCTGGGTGCTGTGCGGCCAGATAAAGCCAAGTGTCTTCACTGGTTGGGGGCTGCAGGGTGGGGTTCCCAGTGGGACCTGCACAAGGGGGTTAAGGGAGGGGGACACTCTTACGGCCAATTGTGGGACAGCCTCAGCTCCCTGCCTCCCCTGGGGTCCTCGGGACCCCTTGGCCTCACATGGTGGGGGAGAGGGGGGCAGGAGGCAGCCCAGCTCGGGATGAAGCTTTGGACTAGAAAGGCTGCAGCCTGGGAGAGCTCCTCCATGCAGGCTCCGGCGCGCCCTCTGCCGGCCACGCTGGCCTCCCCGCCTCCCCAGGGAAGGAGGTGGTGGCCTAAGCTGGCCGGGCCGGGATGTCAGCATGGTGGTACAGGGCCTCCCTCTGGAAGCCCGGGCTGGGGAGTCACAGGCTCCCGTGCAGCCCCCAGGCCAAGTTGGCAGCTCTTGTTCTCCAGGGAGCTGGTTCCCTGCCCAGGTGTGTGTGCCCCCAGAGACAGTTCTATGGAGGAGGGCCAGGAGCCACAGCCCCCACCCCAGTCACCGCCCAGGGCTATGGCCTCTGTGGTTTGATCCAAGACCTAGTTGGGCAGAGAGTGCCCAGCTCGGAGGACAAGGGCTGCTGGCTAGAGCCGCTCTGGCTCATGGCTGTCCAGTGTCCCATGTGGACTGAACCCTGTGAGGGGACAGTGGGGAGCCAGCCCTGGCCGTGGGTCTGAGGGGAAGCTGGCAGTGCCTGCAGGCCTGTCTAGTCCCCTCTGTCCCCAGGGGACAGCGGACCACTGTCAGGTGAGGCTCATAAAGACACCCCGGGAAGACCCACGCAGGAGTGGCTGCCGCTGGGCTTTCTCATCCCCGCCCCCCCCCCGCCCCGCAGTGCCAGTGGGCACTATATCCAAGTGTTTGTGCTCAAAGCTGATGCTGTGCCGCATGAGCCACAGCTCCACTTCCGGATTTTTAGTGGTTAATTGGAGGTAAGAGTGTTAACTGGCTTCCTGGCCTGGGCTGACTTTGAACTTCAGTCCTCAGATCTGTCTCCTGAGTAGCTGGGGTTACAGGCGGGAGCCCCTGGCGCCCGCCCTTCCCCCTCTTGCTGTGAAAACTGCCTGGTGGGGTTGGTACCACCATCGCTCTAGAAAGGAATCAGACGCCCACCCAGGGTGGGGTGCTCAGGCTGGAGGGGAGGGCGTGTTTGCGGGGCTGGTTGGCACAAAGGGTGCCCAGCAGGGCTTCCGTCCACCAGTGGGCCCAAGGAGCTGTGGGTGAGAATGCGGGGCTGGTGCCCAGACCATGCAGCACTGAGGCCGGCTCTGCAGGCTTGGATGCCTGGGAAGGATGGGGTGGTCTTATTTATTTTTTCCAAGGTTGAGGGGCCAAGCGAGTTGGCTGCAGGCCAAGTGAGCTCCACTCGCAGAGACCAGAGTGGAGGTGTGCGGGGGGCCAGCCATGTCAGAGGAGGAGGCGGCTGAGGAGCGAGGCTCCCAGCAGGGCCAGAGCCCCAGGACCCGGCCTGCTCACGCCCACGGCGTTGCAGAGGTCACGGAAGCAGCAGAAGACGGGGTGCGCCAGCCCGATGCTGTCGGGGTCTGTGGCCAGGCAGGATGTGGAGCAGGAGCGCGTCACCATGGGGCTCTGGTCGAAGGGGTACTCTGCGGGGCGGGAGGGCATCAGCCTCACACCGGCCAGGCCTGCGCACCCCGTGCTCTGCACCTAGGCGCCCCCTCCCCAGCCCCACCCGCCAGCCCACCCCACCCCTGTGAGCTCACGCAGCACCTGCCTGAGATGGGGCCTGTCCCGCGCCAGCGCTGTGACGTCCTCCCCGGAGCAGCAGGGGGGAAGCCCACCTGGGTTTGGCCTCCACCCCCCTCTTTGCCCGTGCCCACGCCTGTGCCCTGCGCTGTCTCCAGCCCCCCCATCCAGCCCCTTACCCGACTCCACGGTCTCCAGGGTGGTCTTGCAGGCCGTGTCTTCCTGCTTGCACTGGGTGATGTTCTTGCACGAGTGAATGGGCGTGGGCTGTAGGCAGGTGTAGCACCTGAAGGCCTCACCTGGGCAAGGGGTGGGGGCAGAGCCTCATCACCGGCCACCTGGCCACCCTGTCCCGGAGCCAGGAGGAGCAGGCTGGAGGAGACCTGCTGAGATCCTTCAAGGCCCAGCTGGCTGACTGAATGCAGGCCTCAGTGCCCCTTCCTGTGAGGTGATAACTTGACCCCAGGCCCCAGGGAAGCCGGGCCCTAAGCCAGGAGATTCTCGGGAGCCACAGAGACCCCGCCCGGCAGCCTCACCTTTCCCTCCCTGAGAGGTGGGCAGACAGGCCCAGGGCAGCGCCCCCCACCGGCTGAGCCCCGGCCCAGCACTCACCACAGCCCATGCTCCAGGCTGCCATGAGCAGCAGTGAGGTGGCCCAGTGAGAGCCCATCCCTGGGTGCTGAGGAGCTGGGAGCCTGGCAGGCCCCATGGTGAGCATTTATACGGGCTGGCCCCTCCAGCTCCGCTTCTGGGCGGCGTCGGAGCCTGCCGTGACTCAGTAGGGCGGCACGGCTGCTGGCTGCCATGGGGAGGGCTGGAGCCGGGGCGGGCAGCAGCCACTGTCACTCACCTCCCCGGGGGGCGGGCCCAGCCTGGGGACCCTAACCCTGCCCTAGGCTGGCTCACCTCCAAGCACTCTTGTCCCGGCCATCCTGGATAGCTCTGACTGCCCGCTAATGGACCCTGAAATCCTGGGTCAGGCACCTTAGGGGTTCACAAAGGCCACCAGGCTCCAGGTAGGAGCATCCTCAGGGTCCAGTGGCAGGGCAGCCTCAACCCTGCCTGGGGCAGGGCCATGGCGGGCCTGGGGCTGCTCTCCCAGTCCCCCCCCCCACCTGGCGCACAGCTGGTACACCTAGTCACATGCAGAGGCCAAGTCAGTGCAGGAAAGGAAAGTGCTGGGGGGCAGCAGGTGGCCCGGGTACCATCGCCAACCAGACCCTCTGCGGGCAGCTCCCCACCGCTGCCAGACCCTGCCCACGGTGCTCTTAGGGAACCTGACCCCTGGGCCCTCAGCCTGACAGCAGCAGCCCTACCACCCTGTGGCCTGGTCTAGCAATCTCCTGACCACCATGGCACACTGACCGTGGCCACACCATCCTGTGCTCACACCGCTTCCTGTTCCAAATCTCTCACCCTGTGACACACCGTCTCCCATTCCATACCTTAAATCCACTCCATGTCAGAAAGTCCATCTGGTGTTTGTCCTCTATAGCTCTGATTAGTATTAGACTCTGGGGTTTTGGTTTTAGTTTTCTGATTTCCATAATAGGTAGTTTATGAGTGGGTAGATGAATGACTGGAGGACAGATGAATGGATGGATGGATGGATGGATGGATGGATGGATGGGTGGGGGTAGATGGATGGATGGGGGGTAAATGGATGGGTGGGTGGATGGATGGGTGGGTGGATGGATGAGTGGAGGTAGATGGATGGGTGGGTGGATGGATGGGTGGGGGGTGGATGGGCGGGTGGGTAGATGGATGGGTGGGGGTAGACAGATAGAGGATGGATGGATGGATGAATGGGTGGATGGATGGGTGGGTGGGTGGATAGGTGGAGGATGGGTGGATGGATGAGTGGGGGTGGATAGAGGATGGATGTGTGGGTAGATGGGTGGGGGTGGATGGATGGATGGGTGGATGGATAGATGGAGGATAGATGGATGGATGGGTGGATGGATGGATGGATGGATTGAGGATGTACAGATGGATGGATGGGTGCTTAGATGGATGCAGGATGAATAGATGGTTGGATGGTTTGGAAGATGAATGAGTGGACAGATAGGCAGCTGAATGGAGGGGGGAGTAAGGATTAGCTATGAAATGGGGGTAGAGCAATGGATAGGCTACGTGTGGCTGTGTGGACAACTGGAGGCAGGCCCTGCTGTGGCTCAGAGGGCTCACACTTTGACCTTGAGGTAGGATGGGAAGCGCCCAGAGCTGGCGCCCGGGAGGCATGAGTTCTTCTCTTAGCCTTGCAGCGTTTCCCATGCACAGCCTCAAGGTGGCCCCTTGTCCATCTAGCCTTTGGCTTTCTGTATGTAGGTGCTAGCACAGAGTGAGCTGACACTGGGCTGAAGCCAGCTGCACAGGACTGTAAGAAACCAAAGGAGGGCGTGGTTTGCCAAGGGAGAGACCGTGGTTACTGTTGATCAAACACCGAGACCCACATGTGGGAGATCAGCCCTTGCCCAGAGATTGAGCAAAGAGCCAGGGCATGTCTGGCTCTGGAGCCTGGCAGACTGAAACCGGTCCTGGTGCTCCCTGGCCTCGCTGGGATCCAGGCCAGCCTCCTTCAGAGGCACTCGTCCGGCCTCGTTGCATCCTTCCCCAAACTGGGCAGAGGGACAGCTGCCCCATCGTGAAACCCAGCAAGCACTCCGTGCGGACGGGCTGGCTCTGTGGTGCTGTGAGCTCCCTGCAGGTTGTGGGGTAGAGGAGATGCTGCAGAAACGTCAACTGAGACCGCCCGGGGCACTCGCCCTGGCTGTGACAAGGAGGGAAGGCCTCAGAGGCCATGGCAGGGCGCTGCTGGGGTGGGTGGCAGTTTGGAGAGTTGCCCGCACGCCCTTCCTGTGGGCAGGCACCACTTTGGCCCGTCTCCAAGCCCAGCACTCAATTGGCAGGTGGAAAAGTGATGCGGTGTGTGTCTGGCCAGACACCAGTGGGGAAGGGCAGATTTATGTCCTAGTTTGGCAGCCTCTTCGAGAGTCCACGCCTCCCCCACTGGCCTCAAATGTAGAACCAGAAGACCAGGTCTGCACCCAGCAAGGCTGGTGTGCGTCAGGGAGAGGCAGCTCACACCCTAGAGCCTGGGACACTGCCGTGCGGTACGCAGCCCTGCCAGGCACCGGTGGTGTAGCCACTGGCAGGCCATGTCTCCTTCCTAAGTCTGTCTAATCTTTATAAATCGGAACAGTGTGTTCCTAGCACTCAGGGTGTCTGGAAAGCTGGACTGAGGTGATGTGTGTCAAATCTGCCCAGACCGTGCAGCACCGCCAGGGGGAGCTGGCACAGGCTGTGATGGCTGCACTGCTGAGCAGCATTTGTTGGAGGGGTGAGGTGGGTAGATGAATGGGCAAAGGGAGAAGGGATGTATGGATGGTGGATGGTGAGTAGATGGATGAGTGGGTTGAGGATGGGTGGCGTAGATGGGTGGGTAATAGAATGAACAGATGGATGGGTGGAGGATGGATGTAGAAAAGGATGGATAGAAAGGATGATGGATAAAAGGATGGAGGATGGATGGAATGGGCAGGCAGATGGCTAGAGGGATGTGGGTGGATGGATGGATAGACAGCGGATGGATGGGGTATAGTGAGAAGATGGAGGGATGAATAACTGAGTGGAGGACGGATGGGACAGATGGATGGGTGGAGGGCAGAGAGGTGGCAGCAAAGGTGCAGACGGATGGGTGAAAGGCTGAGGTTTCGTGGGGAGGATAGGCTCAGGGACAGGTGCGGTAGGTGGGGGCTGGGTGGAGGCTTGGAAGGGTGGATAATGGGACTGGTGAGTAGGTGAAGTCAAGGAGGACTGGGCTGGTGCTACCTGTGGCAGGTCTGGACCTGCGGTGGGCCACTCTGTATCTCCCTGGCCACAGATACCCTGGGGCTGAGCTTAGGCAGCACAGGCTGATGACCCCTGGGGTTGGGAGGCTCTCAGGACAGCCCCTGTGCCTCTCCACCTTCTGGAGCCCCTCACCTTGGGCCTGGCCCCTGGTCTAGGCTGCAGAGCCAGCCACACCTCCGACACACTTCCAGGACCTGACCCTGGGGAGCCAGGGGCTGAGTGACCCTCCGAGGTCCAGAGAGGAAGCAGAGGAGGGGAGGGGCCCTTCGGGCCACCCAAGGAAACCGGCTGGCCATGGACGCAAGGGACACAAAAAGGGGAGGAAGAGTCCTGCAGCATTGCTGCTGCTGAGGCCTAGCACTGGCCGAGCCAGAAAGCCACACAGCCATCTTCCCGTGGAGATGGCCGTCCAGTCCGCCACTGGCAGCCGCCTCACCCTGGCTCACGGCTGGGCGTCCGCAGGGCCCTGTTGCCAGCCGCTGAGGCCCAGGCGTCCTGGCGCTGGGCTGCTCATCCGGTGTGGCACAGGAGGCACGGGAGGCACGCGTAGGCCCCTCTGCTGGTCAGGGAGCACCAGGCAGCGGCTCCCATTATCCAGGCCAGAGGCGCTGGGCAGCAGAACGCAGCCTGCGCCCGGCTCCTCTTCCCCACGAAGTCTTATCTCGCCTATGGGCTGTGAACCTCTCGGGCCACCACACTTGTAGGACCCTCGGTCGGGCTGGACCCTGGAGGAAGTTTGCCTCCCCGACCAATGACTGGGGCAGGGCGGGGCTGAAGACTGGGGCGGAGCTGAGGACTAGGGAGGGGCGGGGCTGAGGACTGGGGAGAGGCGGGGCTGAGGACTAGTGAGGGGCGGGGCTGAGGGCTGGGTGGGGCGGGGCTGAAGAGTGGGGCAGGGCCCCAGGACTGGGAAGGGGCGGGACTGAAGACTGGGGAGAGGTGGAGCTGAGGACTAGGGAGGGGCTGAGAACTAGGGAGGGACGGGGCTGAGGACTAGGGAGGGGCGGGAATTAAGACTGGGGAGAGGTGGGGCTGAGGACTAGGGAGGGGCGGGGCCCAGGACTGGGAAGGGGCGGGGCTGAGGACTAGGGAGGGGCAGAGCTGAGGACTGGGGAGAGGTGGGGCTGAGGACTAGGGAGGGGTGGGGCTGAGGACTGGGGGCGGGGCTGAGGACGGGGGGGTGGGGTTCCAGGACAGAGTCAAGTCCCCCAAAGTCAGGTTCACAGCTAAGGTTGAGGTCAAAGGTAAGGTAAGGTTCTAAGGCTTCACACGTTCTGTGTCTGGACCTCTCTGTTCCTATGATTTCCCTGCGAACCTTGACAGGGGTCACAGATCAAACCTGATCCCCAGCTCCAACCTAAGCTTTGTTCCCTTGTCAGTCTGAACCCTAACCTCGGTCACGGATGAGCCTTTTCCCCTGTCTCTGGGGGTCTCTGGGATGCGCAAGTGTCTACAGGTCATGCGTGTTGACACAGGAAAGCCAAAGAGGGTGTGAGGTGCCGTGTCTCCCATCGACAAGGACAAAGCTCAGCGTCACAGCCCTGGATAGAGGCACCCCGCTGACGCCATGACCCCCAGCTTCCAGTCACCCCTTCTGGCTGCTCTTGTCCTCCTCCCCAGAGGCCTCCTGACAGAGGGTGATTGGGGTGGGCTGTGCCCCAGAGCTGCTGGTAGGGCTCCTGGGATGTCCCAAACCCCATGGGAGACAGGTGGTCTTGTCCACAAGAGAGAGGAATAGGGAGCTCCCGGGTCCCTGAGAGGAGAGGTTTCCTGGACCGCTGAGTTCTGTGCCAGACACGGGGCTCGCCCAGCAGCACCGGGTCATGAGACCTCACTCGGGTGGAGCGTCTTCACCCAGGAGCAGGATCATGGTGTGGGCTGGGCACAGTGTGGGAAAGAAGGCCTGGAAGCCCATCATAGCTTGGCTGAGATGCATGGGCTTTGGGACCCATTCAGGGGCTGGCAGCAGGGAGGGACCGGCCACGGGGTTCTGCAGGTCAGGAGAGGCAGGTGCAAGGGTGGCCATGACAGCTTTTCCATCTCTAGTCCAGCCTCTGCCCACCTTGGTCAGGTCCCCCAGAACCCCCAAGGGCCCAAAGGGCAGCGATCTGCCTGGTGGGAGCGTGCCCAGGCCCAGTGATCTGCCTGGTGGGAGCGTGCCTGGGCCTGGCTGTCCTTGCTTGGGGATGGGGCTTCAACCCACCACAGGAGACAAGAACGACACAGAGACAGCGACAGGCTCTGAGATCCGCGGGGAGGCCCTCTCTCTGGCCTAGACGACAGCTCTGCCTGGAAATGAGACTCAGGAGGCTGGGTGCAGGTGGCCGCTACACTTCTTGGAGGCTTCTAGGCATGACTGGGGAGGCAGCGGGGGAGGTTGGAGCAGGGGGAGCAGCTGGGGCCGGGGCGGGGACAGGACTCTAGAGCACCAGGTGCACCAGTGGGGCCAGCGCCAGGGCCAGGGCCAGGCTGGGGGCGGGCGCTCCGTCCATGTTGCAGAGCTCAGAGTTGCAGCAGGACACAGGCCGGGTTTGGCCAATGCCATCCACATCTGAAGGCTCACACTTGCTGGCGCAGGACTTGGTCACCGTGGAGTCTCCCAGGAAGGGGAACACTGTGGGGGGCAAGAAGTGTCCACCACTCTGCCCCCATCAAGCCAGCTGGCGCCCGCTCTGGGGTCACCCAACCCAGGGCTCTCAGCACCCTTCTTCTCCACCTCTTGGTGAAGAGCCAGAGATAAAGGAGAAAGAAGATGAGGTCCTCAGCCACCTCACCCCGGGGAGGAAAGGAGAGAGGCCACACTTAGGACAGGAGCAGTGGGGTGACTACTGCTGGTTACACAGGGCACAGCTGGCCGGGTGGCAGGGAAGAGGGCGCGGTGACCCTGGCCCCCAGCCCCGCCCCACCCACTCACCAATCTCCCGTGAGTAGAGCGTGGTCTTGCACATGGTTTCGTTGGCATGGCAGGTGGTGACAGTGGTGCAGCTGGACGTTGTCGTGGGTTCCCCACAGGTGAAGCACCGTAAAGCCACCACTGGGAGAGAAGCGATAAAGGCCAGGTCAGGCTGGCCTGCCCCTCCAGCCGCAGAGACAGCTTGTGGAGGGGCCCGGCCCGCCTGAGGCCGGGGTCTGAGGGGCCCAATAATGTGAGCCGAGGGCCTGGGAAGCCGCTGTGAGCACTGGACTTTGGTCTGCTGGTGACACAGGCTCAGGTCACAAGGCAGACAGTACCCTTGGGGGAGACTGTCAGCCTGGGGGCCAGGGTGGGGTCAGGAGGCACCGGGAGACGGAGGCCTGGGCATTGCCATAGCAAGAACACCAGAGGGGTGCGAGGCTCAGGGTGGGCCCGGAGCAGCCCTCTCGTCCCCTGCAGAGCTCCTGGGGGGGAGCCAGCCGTGCCTGGGAGCTGGAGGGGTGTGGGTAGGTGGGGTCCACTGAGCGGGAGGAGGGTGTCCCTGCACCACCCCTGCCAGGCCCCTCTGTGCTGCCCCCCCAGGCTGACTCCAGCTGCTCCACGCAGCCCCTGGGTGGCCTCTGTGTGACCCAGATAGGGCCTCTGTCCTTGGCCAGCCTCAATTTCTCCCTCCAGAAAATGGACAGTCACCTGGCTGAGGCCCACGCCTGCCATAGAGTACACAGGAGATGCAGGCCCGCCGTCCTCTCCCTGGATGGACGTGTCTGGGTCTCCCTCCCCCTGCTCCCCGCCCCTGGCCTGCCCCAGCCCCTCCTGTACCTTCCCTAGCCTCCCTTCCCCACCCCAGCTCAAACCTTCCACAGCCCAAGGCCCCCATCAGGCAGCCCCCCTGCAGGTACCCAGGGCTTGGACACTGGCCCCGCCTACCTGGCCAGCCCCCCACCTAGCCCAGACCCCCTGCCTTTCCCCATTTGCAGCCCAACCTTCTTTGCTTCTTCCCCTCTTTGGACCCTGCCCCCCACCTCTGTCCGTACCCCTCTCTCTGAGGTGCCTTCACCTCAGAGAAAGGGGTACAGAAGCTGGCAGGCAGTGTCCCGGGGTGCACAGACCCCACTCCCCACATCGCCCAGACCCTGGTTCTTCACCCCTCACCGAGCTCCCTGCAGGTGGCTAGGGTCAGCACCAGCAGGGCCAGCCAGGCCCCCTGCGTGGCTCTGGTCCCCTGCATGGCTCTGGTCCTGGTTGCACACTGGCCTGGCCAGAAGCCTTGGGGATGCCAAGTGTGGTGGTCCGACCGGTCTGGTCCACTAAGTGGATTACTGAGATCAGGTTTCAGGAGGGCGGAGTATCAGAGACCCCGCCTCCGCCCAGACCTTCCCCCTCCCCCTCTTCAGACATTTCATTCCTAGGGTGTCTCTGGGCTCACCCTTCGGGTCTCAGTCCCTCCACGCCACAGCCTGGTGCTCCCCCTCCATCTGCTTCCCCTTTCTTGACCCCTGCCCTGGGGACTTCACCACCTCCCTGTAACTTCCTGCCTGGAGCCCCCTGCCCGGGATGGTGGAGGGGGGCTCTCCAACAGACTGCCCCCAGGAGGACCTCTGCATGTGGCTCCTTCTCCAGGGCAGACTGGTGACCTCGGGCTGCAGGATGACCTTGGATGGTCAGGCTGGGGCTCAGTGCGGGGCAGCTGGGAGGTTGGGAGGTTGAGGGAGGCCCTTGCCCAGCCTCAGACAGGAGAGAGCCGAATCTGGGTCTACACAACTCTGCCAGACACAGACCTGTAGTGCTCCCCTCCAGGACACCCTGCCACCCCTGCCCACACCCACAGCCTGGGGGCAGGGAGCCATGACTGCCATGACTTAGTAGTTAAGACTGCAATCTTCCAGGCCCGGGGGTGTGGACAGGGCCTCCTGGGTGGGACAGCAGGCTTTCCAAATGTCAGTCTCTTCCTGTGCTTTGACCCTGTGTTCCGCTGCAACGTTCCCCCCCCAGCCCCCTGTGGTTGAAATTCTCTGTCCCCTCCCCCTGACCCCCCATCCCAGGGTCCTTGCCTGGTCAGCTCCCCACTGGGGATCTGGGGACCCCTTAGCCTGGGGACCCATGCCTTCATGAGCACCGGGCAGAGCCGGTGTGCCAGTGCGTGGCCCCAGGCCTCACGCACCCCATGTGAGTCATACACTTCACTCATGGCAGCTGCAGAGCTACCCCATGCTAATTAATTTTAGCTCTGAGAAGCTAATTGATCTAGGCAAGGTCACTTAGCAGCCCACACAGAGCCCAGCCCGTCCGATTTGGCCACCAGTCACCTGGAAACCAAGGTGCAATCAGCAAGGGTGCTGCAGCCATAGCTTAAGTGGATGACACACCCCACTACACACAGCCCGGCACTGCCGAGGTCCAAGCGGTCCCTCTGCTGCACCCCACCCTTCCTCAGGCCTCAGGCCCGGGGGCACCTCCTGTGTCTTCCAAGGAGTACATGCCCAGCCCCCAGGCAACAGCTCCAGAACTTTCCATCTGACTGTCAGGGAGACCCTGACGACTCCTGGGTGATATTTCCCCACAGGGCAGCTGCTGATTGGGTGGGGAGGAATGTGGCCTGGCCAGTCAAGGGTGAGGCTGTCTGCAGGCCTCTGTGCTAAGAGGGGACACCCCTTTCAGTTCCTCCCAGAACCTCTTAGACTGGATTTAGACTGTGAGCAGGGTCAGGACTCTGTGTGATCAGGATCAGAAATCAGTGTGAACAGGGTCAGGACTCAGTGTGTGAGCAGGGTCAGGACTCTGTGTGATCAGGATCAGAAATCAGTGTGAACAGGGTCAGGACTCAGTGTGTGAGCAGGGTCAGGACTCAGTGTGTGAACAGGATCAGAATCAGGGTGAACAGGGTCAGGACTCAGTGTGTGAGCAGAGTCAGGACTCAGTGTGTGAGCAGGGTCAGGACTCAGTGTGTGAACAGGATCAGAATCAGGGTGAACAGGGTCAGGACTCAGTGTATGAGCAGGGTCAGGACTCAGTGTGTGAACAGGATCAGAATCAGGGTGAACAGGGTCAGGACTCAGTGTATGAGCAGGGTCAGGACTCAGTGTGTGAACAGGATCAGAATCAGGTGAACAGGGTCAGGACTCAGTGTGTGAGCAGAGTCAGGACTCAGTGTGTGAGCAGGGTCAGGACTCAGTGTGTGAGCAGGGTCAGGACTCTGTGTGATCAGGATCAGAAATCAGTGTGAACAGGGTCAGGACTCAGTGTATGAGCAGGGTCAGGACTCAGTGTGTGAACAGGATCAGAATCAGGGTGAACAGGGTCAGGACTCAGTGTGTGAGCAGAGTCAGGACGACTCAGTGTGTGAGCAGGGTCAGGACTCAGTGTGTGAGCAGGGTCAGGACTCAGTGTGTGAGCAGGGTCAGGACTCAGTGTGTGAGCAGGGTCAAGACTCAATGTGTGAGCAGGGTCAGGGGTCAGTGTGTGAGCAGGGTCAGGACTCAGTGTGAACAGGGAAAGGAATCAGAGTGTGAACACGGTCAGGACTCAGTGTGTGAGCAGGGGCAGGAGGTAGTGTGTGAGGAGGGTGAGGACTCTGGTGTGATCAGGTCAGGATTTGGTGTGAGCAGACTCAGGACTCAGTGCATGAGCAGGGTCAGGACTTGATGTGGGAGTAGTGTCAGGACTCAGCGTTAGTAGAGTCAGGACTTAGTATGAGCAGGCTCAGGACTCAGGTATGAGCAGAGCCAGGGCTCAGTGTGAGCAGGTTCAGGACTCAGAGTGAGCAGGGTCAGGGGTCAGTGTGTGAGCAGGGTCAGGACTTGATGTGTGAGCACGGTCAGGGCTCAGTGTGAGCAGGTTCAGGACTCAGTGTGAGCAGGGTCAGAACTCAGGTGTGAGCAGGGTCAGGACTCAGTGTGAGCAGGGTCAGGGCTCAGTGTGAGCAGGGTCAGGGGTCAGTGTGTGAGCAGGGTCAGGACTCAGTGTGAGCAGGGTCAGGACTCAGTGTGAGCAGGGAGGCTAATCAGCTGATCCCTGTGCGTGGGACTCTGGAGCGCTGGGCCTGTGATGTCAGCCGGTTTCCCTCTTCTGCTGCTTTGTCTCTTTAGTGGGCACCGCACTGGGTGTGGCGGCCCTCTCTAGACCTCGTGCAGACCCTCCCCTCCCAGTCAGGGTGAAGGCTGAGCTGTCGGGTGGGGAGGTGGCCGAGGGGCGATGGGGGGGGGCGTACCTGTGGTCTGTGGCCCCTCACTGATAGGCCAGTGACAGTAGCTCAGTGGGCACAGTGCCGCATGTGACATGGCCACAAGCGTGGTCTCACGTGTCTTGTTCTTCCTAGTGTGCTACGGGAGTTGGTCAGGCGGTGTTCATGCGTACTGGTGTTATCAAGTCCTATGTCAGAGTGTCACCTGCTGTGAGGCCCGGGCATTGGCTAACCAGGTCATCCCCAGGCTCCACTAGGAAAGAGTTCCTTCCCAGCTCCTGGCCGGTCTTCCCCCGCAGGGCTGCTGGCTGCTGCATTCCCAGGCCGCTGACCTCTGGCCGCTGGCCGCTGCATTCCCAGGCCGCTGGCCACTGCATTCCCAGGCCGCTGGCCGCTGGCCGCTGCATTCCCAGGCCGCTGGCCGCTGGCCGCTGCATTCCCAGGCCGCTGGCCGCTGCATTCCCAGGCCGCTGGCCACTGCATTCCCAGGCCGCTGGCCGCTGGCTGCTGCATTCCCAGGCTGCTGACCGCTGGCCGCTGCATTCCCAGGCCGCTGGCCGCTGCATTCTCAGGCCACTGGCCGCTGGCCGCTGCATTCCCAGGCTGCTGACCGCTGGCCGCTGGCCGCTGCATTCCCAGGCCGCTGGCCACTGCATTCCCAGGCTGCTGACCGCTGGCCGCTGCATTCCCAGGCTGCTGACCGCTGGCCGCTGCATTCCCAGGCTGCTGACCGCTGGCCGCTGGCCGCTGCATTCCCAGGCTGCTGACCGCTGGCCGCTGCATTCCCAGGCCGCTGACCTCTGGCTTCCAGTCACCAAACCCTTTCATCTCCTCTCCTTTCCTTTTCTTTTTTTTTTCTTTCTGTCCTAGTCCTGGGGCCTGAACTCGGGGCCTGGGTGCTGTCTCAGGGTTTGTCTGTCCGTTTCTTGAGGGCTAGTGCTCTTGAGCCCCAGCTCTACTTCTGACTTCTCCTTCCTCTCCCTCTCCCCCCTCCAACTCTCCCTCCCTCTCCCTCTCCCCCCTCCAACTCTCCCTCCCTCTCCCTCCCCCACCCCTACTCTGGAAGTTTTTATTGGCGATATGAAAGTCTCATGGACTTTCCCATCCAGGCTAGCTTTGAACTGTGACCCTCAGATCTGAGTAGCTAGGATAACAGATGTAGGCCACCCATGTGCAGCTAAAACTCTGCTCTTTTTGGCTCTATGGCTCCACGCTCAGGATCTGACAGGCCAAAATCGGGGTGTGTTCTGTACTGGACTTTTCCGCCAGGAACCTGCATCTGGACTGGCTCAGGTCCCCTGCTGTGGCTGTCACCCCTTGCTGGTCCCTGCCCTCCAGGAGGCCCAGGGCCTTACCCATAAACCCCAGTACTGATAAGCCAGCCAGGGGCCGTCCCTTCTCTGACCTTAGTGACTGTCTCCGTTTTCCAGAAGACAACACTTCTTGGCCATTCTTCACTCTCTCCTGGAGGGCACTGTGTGTCACTGGCCCTCAGCCCTGCCCCCTCACACCAGCCTGCTGCTGCAGTGCACATGCATTTGCCCTTCATGGCAAATCTGGGCCGTTGCTTTTGTCCTTGTGTGCAGCAAATACTGCTGTCTCAGGCGGATGGGGGGGGGCACCCAGACCGCCGGAGTCCTGATCATCTGTCTCAGGCTGATGGGGGTGGGGTGCCCAGACCGCTGGAGTCCTGATCATCTGTCTCAGGTCGATGGGGGTGGGGGCACCCAGGCCGCCCGAGTCCTGATCATCAGGTTCAGCTGCAGGGGGCCCCTTCTGAGATGCAGCAGCAGCCACGGCAGCGGCCGCCCTGGAGCTGGGTCTCCCAGTGCGGTCCAGGGCAGGGGCTTTCTCCAGCCTCTGCCTCTTGCACTCAAGGTCAGGTGATGCCTTGCGAGGCGGCCGCTGCACCTCATGTCTCCAGGAAGATAGGCGGCACAAATAGCACCAGGGGCAGGTGGGTCGCGCCCATGATCCTAGCAACTCAGAAGGCTGAGAACTGAGGATCACCGCTTGAAGCCAATCAGGGCAGAAAAGTCCCTATGAGACTCTTATCTCCAAATAATCATTCCAAAAAGAGAACAAAAATGTGGAGCTGTGGCTCAAAGTGACAGAGCGCTAGACTCTGTCTAGCATAAAGAACTCAGGGACAGCACCCAGGCCCTGAGTTCAAGCCTCATGACCAACCGCCCACCCCCCAAAAGGAACACATTATTATGATTATTGCCCACAATAGGAAGATGCCCACACTTGGTTCCCCTGGCTTTAGACTCCTAGGCCACACCTTTGCCCAGTCCTTGCCAGCCTCCCACTGACTTCCCAGTCCCAGAAAAGGCATCTTTCTTGACACTGGTGGCAGATTTCCTACCTTGCCTTCTACTTTTGGGTGTTGCTCATGGTATTGTGTGTGTGTGTGTCCCTTCTGTTTTTCTCTGTGGAACTGGGGTTTGAACTCAGGGCCTATGCTTGCTAAGCAAGTGCTCTATCACTTGAACCATGGCTCTAGCCCTTTTTGTTTTAGTTTTCAGAACAAAAATCCTTCTACATAGGATCATAGACACATGCCACTGGGCCTTACTGATTGTGTGGGGTGGGGTTCTTGCTAGCTCTTTGCTCTGGTTGGTCCTGACGCTTGACCTCCTGACCCCGAGTGGCTGGAACTACAAGAGTATGTCACTGTGGGAGGCCTTAACAATGTTTCCTGTAGCCTTTTGTGCATCTTTCCAAACCTGTACTGTGTTCATATTTCTTTTCTAAAATAAAAAAAGTTAACAGCTTTATTAAGTGCACCTGCCACATTGTGCAGTTTGACCATTTGCGGAACAAAATTGGCCACCTCAGTATATTCACAGACCTGTGCAAACCTCACTCATCATGGCTCAGAGAGAAGCTCGGTGCCTTTAGCCATTGCCGCCCTCCATTCCTGCGCAGTTATGAAACACATGCTTGGTCTTCATTCTGGCTTCCTGGCACACAGGCTGAAATCATTGGGACTCTCTGAAGCAATGCTAATGTCTTTTGAAAGCTGATGACTGACTGGCTGGCAGAAGGGCTCCAGGTGGCTGTTGGGCGGGGCTGGTCCCCTTTTTCCCCCCACCTCCCCCCTACACTGGGAACTGAGTAATTTGAGGGCAGAGACTTCCAGCCCCACCCCTGCCTCCTCGGGAGACAGGCCTGAAGGTTGAGCTGGTCACCAATAGCCAATGTCATGGTCCACCACGTCCATGTAGCAAACCTCCCGAAACCCCCAAGGTCAGGATTTGCCTTGCCAGAGGATGGAGCCCTGGGCAGGGTATGGGGACCCTGCGTCCGCCCAGCACCTCCGTCTCTCCCTCTGTCTCTGCGTCTGGTGTTCACTGGTGTCCTCCATCACATCCCGGATGACAGATAAGACGACGTGAGGGAAAAGTGTTTCCTCAGTGCTGCCAGCTGCTGTCCCTGAAGGAAACTGAGCATGTAGCCACGCCTGGGAAGCTCACGTCTTTCTGGGATAAGAAATACTTTTCGGGGGTACCCCAAGAGCCCCACGGGAGATTCCCTGTCTACAGACCCCACGTCTTGCACACCCGGCACACACTCGCATACACACCACGCACACATACCATTCGCTAGTGAGCTGATCTTTCAGACTCTGCAAAGACTGCTCGGCCCAGACAGGAGGCCTGGGCAGACAGCGAAGGCGCCTCCCAGCCTCCACCCACGGTGGCCACAAGGTCCAGCCTCAGGGACTTGCATCCAAGAAGCCCACCGATGGCGTCTCCACTTTTGCCCTTGGGACCTTCCCCATGCCTCAGTCTCCTGGAATGTGCCCCGAGCTTACCCCGGTGCGGGGGCTCCTGTCACCGCACCCCGGGGTTCCCCAGTACATGCCTCCATTCTCTGAAGAGTAATGCCACGCTCTGTTGTTTAGATTGACAAGAAGAATGCCTGCACACTTAGGCAGCCAGAGGTGAAATACTGGATGGTGTGAGGGTCGGAAACGTGTCTGGGCTTCCCTCCCCCAGTTCTTAGCAATCTTTCCTTCATCACATGCAACAAGGAATGGCCTTGGTGGCTTTAGGTCTCCCTCTCCTGCCAGGTCATGGATTCGCTGTCTTTGCCTGTCTGGCTTCTTTTACTGAGTAGAACATTTTCCAGGATCACCCACATTGTAGTGTGGGGCCCTATCACCCTCTGGATGGTTAAATAGACCTGTTTTCACTTATCCATTCGTCAATTGCTGGACATCGGGTTGTTTCATTGTGTGGCTGCATGGATGAACAGCTCTGTAGTGGGAGTCTTTGTGGGGAGTTTCTATGGACGTTTTTCACTTCTCTTGGTGTGGTGGTGGTGGTGCGTGTGTATACCACCACGGGCTCACATGATAACTCAGAGTCTACTCTCTGGTTCACTATTTGTAAACCCAAGTGTGAGGAGCTTTTCTCCCGGGTTTCTGAATTATCTCTTTCTCCTCACATTTAAAGCCTTCATTTGGATTGGATGGGGACCTCTGACAAAGCTGGAGGAGTTGAGACCCAGATTTTCTCATTGTCCACCAGGGACGCCACACCCTGGCGGTGATGCCGGGGCCTGGGCCCCCTGGCGGCCCCCGGGGTCTGGGCATGCTGTGGGCTGCCTGCGCTTGGAGCCTCCCCTCTCTTCTCGGGACTCAGCTTCACACCAGTGGGTTCTCGTGAGACCAGTGCCCAGGAGACAGCCAGCCAGCCAGGGCAAGGCCCCCTGCCGTTCCCTGAGGCTTGCCTCAGACTCTGAAACCAGCAGTCGAAACTTGAGCCCTGGGCTTGGTGATTAAATGTTTGCCAAGTGAGTAACTTCCTCAAACATCGGGTGTTGGGTCCTGTGTCTGCCCTGAGGTGAGTGGCCAGGGCGGATCTGGTCTCTCTCCTCGGGGCACTGCTCTGCCAGCAGGGTTGTAGGAGGAGACCCACGGCCAAGGGAGCTGGAGGCAGAGAGGGACTGCAAGGCTTGGCTGATGGGTCCGGGGAGTGGGGAGTGGGGAGCACACGCAGGCCGGGACGCTCCGGGGACCCCAGGCCAAGGTGGCACTTCACCAGGAGCAGCTGGTGAAGGCGTGTGCAGGTGGTGCCCCCCCACCCCCGCCCACCCCCGTGCTCCTCTGCACATCCTGTCCTGGAGGCCAGAGGCCCGGAAGGAGGACCCCCACCCCACCTCCCCAGGCTGCACACCCTTCTTGGCACCCCAGCCCTGGGCTGGGGGTGCTCCTCAGCGCCCTGCCTCATTTCCCCCACCCAACTGGCTTAGGGCCCTGAGCCATCTGCAGCCTCCTGCTTCTCAGTGCCTGTGTCTGGGTGGAGGTGGAGGCACTTTCTGAGGGGGGAAGGTTGGTGGAGGCTGAGGGGTTGAGGAGGCCATGACCAGAAAGAGAGGGAGAGGCACTGTCCCCGCTCCACACCCGCACAGGACTCTGCTCCTCCGACAGCACAGCATCAGGATTCAGCTCTTTTTATTGGGGGGCTGCTGGCATTGGGGGAACACAGACAGAGAAGGGCCTTAGTGACAACCTAAGGCCAGCCCACGCAGGGCTTCCTGAGAGCGGTGGGGCCTGGCCCGGCGGGGGCGTGGTCCCCCGGCGCTCCGCCAGTGGAAGGAGGGGTCAGTCATGGTTGCAGAGGCTGTACTGGCAGCAGGCGATGGACACGTGAGGCCCCATGTCCAGGCTCTGGACGCTGGGGCAGCCGCTGTAGCACATTTTGGTGACCAAGGGCAGGTCGTTGAAGCTGATGGGCGCCCCTGGGGGTGGGAGGAGAACCAGGGGCAGGCCCTGAGCCGAGCAGCCGAGCACACCAGGCAGGGGGGCCACGCTTCCCCGCTCCATCCCCCTCTGAGCTGTGTCCCCCAGGAGAGGGGGGGTGTGGCTGGCCGCCCCGGCGCCCCACTCACGGGTGGCAATGATGACGCAGTGGGTGGAGCCCCTCGGGCAGCTGGACGCATGGGAGCACCCTCCAAAGCCCTTGCAGCGGTGACATCGCAGGCCCTGTGCGGCGGCTGCAGGAAGAGGCACAGGCCGGTGACCGGCAGGCAGCCCGGCCGCTCTGCTTCCTCCCCGGGCACAGGGCACCGGGCTCCGCGAGGCACTGGGCGGAGCGAGCTCTCTGTGCCAGCCTCAGCCTGCCAAGGTGACCCTGTGACCGTCCGCCCAGGCCAGGGCGCCTGTGGGACGGATGGAGCCTGTGGGGTGTGGGAGCCTGGGCTTCTGGGGAGCTTGGGGAGTGGGCGGGGAAGAAGCACAGGACCTGAGACCTGCCAGGTCCACTTCCACCTTCAGGGGCTTGAACAGGACCCTGGACGCTGGTCAGGGCTGGTCAATTCTGGAGCCTCTCTTAGTGGAAACCCAGGGAAGGCCAACCAGGGGAAGGCGGGGCGGGGGTCCTGGGCTGGCGGGGGTCCTGGGCTGGCCCTGTTTTCCCTGTCCTGCGTCCCTTGGCCTCCACCCGCTCCTCCCTCATCCTCTCCACCTCCATTCCTCCGCCTCAGTCTGCAGGGCATCCTGCCCCCCATCTTCTCCTTGGCTCACATATAGAGGTGATTCCTCCCTGGCCTGCAGGTGGCCAGGTCCTTACCAGGTGCCCTGCGCACACACACATGCACCTCAGGCCTCGGGGGACCCCACGCTGTCCTCAGGAAGAGCTGGGAAGCTGGGCAAGGCCAGGCTGGCAGCCTTGTGGCCCTGAGGGTCAGCCCCAGCCCCAGCTCAGCTCCCGCCACAGCCGCCTCCACCACCCTCGGCATGCAGAGATCTGGGCTCAGCCTGGGCCTGGGGACCGTCCTCTGGCCTGTGTCTTTGAAGCAGGGTACACACAGGAAGTCCCACCTGCTTCAAGGTCCCCATGACCCTGGGCAGTCCACAGCCCTGCAGGACAGCTGAGACCCCACCTCCTACAAGAAGTAGCGAGGAAGCCATCCACTCCAATGAAGACACCCAGCGGCCATCCCAAGTCTAAGGTGCTTGAGGTCTGTATCCTCCCTGGACACAGGAGGGCCCAAGTGGGGGCAGATGGAGGGGGGATGAGTGGTCAGGACACCACGAGGGATGGAGGAGGAGCTGTGGAGAATCCAACTTCTCCTATCTCCACCGTGTGCATCTCTTCCCTGGGCCCCCCAGCGTTGCCTGTGCTATCCCTCCACCCCAGCTCAGGGCCGCCTCCCCCAAGAAGCCCTCCTGGGTGTCCAGGGCCTCTTGTGTCAGCTGCACCCACCCAGGGCTGCACTGCCCCAGTCCCACTCAGGGGGCTTTCATGGGCACGGGGCTGCCAGCCCCTGTGCACCCATCCCCCTCCCCGCCCCTCCTCCACGCTGGGTGAAGTGCAGGTTTGTGGAACAAATGAGGGAATCAGGGCTGGGAAGGGAAGGAGGGAGGGATCCTCAGGAGAAAGAACTTTTCTTCCTTGTTCAGCAATAAGACAAAGATGTTTTAGCTCCTAACAGGACCGAGGCTTCCAGGGGAGGGTGGGGGACACAGGGACCGGGCCCCCATCGACACTTGCCACTCAGAGAGGCAGCTCTGAAGAAGACAGGGAGGGACAGTGGGGTGCGCGCAGGGGCGGCAGACTGGGTTAGCGGCCTGCCCCACTTTCCCACACGCAGCCACAGCGGTTACCTCCCTCTGATTTGGTCTGCTCCAGCTAAAGCAGGAAGAGGATGTAGTGGCCCCTCGCACCAGCCACAAGCCCCAGAGAGAGGTGCTGCCCATGAGAAGTAGCGATGGCACAGAGCATGGGCACCCCAAGACAAGCTCATGCAGCCCCCAGGCCCCCCGTCCTCTTACAACTGGAAGAGTCTGGACAGGCCAGGGCTTGTCCCTTGGGACAACTGGGTTTCCATAGAGGGGGACTGGCATGTTCTCTCATGGAAGAGATGGTCTCAGGGTCAGAGGTATGCCAGCCGAGGCTGAGAGGGTGGGAGGGCTGCTCTGCGCCCATGGAGATGCTGCTGGCCCGTGACTGCTGGCTGGCTGTGCCCCCTGGAGCCCCAGGCCTGACAGGGCAGAGGCCGCCCATCTGAGCTCAGGTCCTTGGCACCAGTGGGTCTTGGTCTTCAAGGTGGAGATAATCTTCCTGATGACTGTGGACAGCGGTCCAGCCACTCAGGACAGAAGGCCCAAGGGGGACAGGACCCTGGACAGCGGCCCAGCCTCTCAGGACAGAGGATCTCTAGGGGACCAGGACCCTGGACAGCGGCCCAGCCTCTCAGGACAGAGGGTCTCTAGGGGGCCAGGACCCTGGACAGCGGCCCAGCCTCTCAGGACAGAGGGTCTCTAGGGGGCCAGGACCCTGGACAGCGGCCCAGCCTCTCAGGACAGAGGGTCCCTAATGGGCCAGATTGGGAGGGATGCCTCTGGGGAGAGACTTGTGACCAGTGTTGAGGATGCCCCTCTCAGTGGGCAGGAGGCAGAGGCTTTGCCAGGGAGGCTGGAGTGTGGAGGGAGAAGAGCTGGTGGGTGACAGGACAGCTAACAAGGGGTGGGGACACGCTAGAGTTCTGCTGGAAGGCGGAGGCCAGGCCGGGACAGGGAAGTTTGGGGTGCCGTGAGGAGCCCTCAGGCGGGCACTGGGGTAAAGCACCTGAGCCCAGGGCAAGGGGTGGGGTGGGTGAAGCTTCAGTCAGAGGCAGCTGAGGATGGGGGTGGGCAGGGGGTGGGGTATCAGGAGAGGGGGCTCTAGGAGGTGACAGCAAGGGAGGCGGGAGAGGCATTTCGTGTTGGGTACGGGGTAGTGAGGGTCTGCATGAAGTCTGGCCTGAGGGGACTCGGGGCTCTGAGGCATGGGTTGAGGAGGAACTGCAGAGTTCTCCAAGCAGGCTGGTGAACAGGAAGGGGACAGTGCCAGGGAGAGGGGAAGGGGCAGGAAAGGGCTCCCCCAAAGGGACAGGGGTAGACAGGAGCAAAGGGGGAGGCAGCTGAATCCCCGGACTCACCCAGGTCCAGGGCCAAGATCATGGTGAGCAGGAGCTTGAAGAGAAGCCTCATGTTCCTGGGATGAGCAGGAGCTGGAGCCTGCCGCCCCTTATACCTGGGCTGTTCCTACCCCACCCTTGCCTCCCTGCTGCCACTAGCTCCCAGTGAGTCACCAGAAGCCTGGCTCAGCCGGGAGCTGGGCTGGACCCACTTGGCCCAGAGCTGGCCAGGTGGCCAGCTCCACCTGGCAAGCCTGGCCTGGTCCCATGAGCTCGTTCCCTGGTCTGTGAGCAGAGGGGGCCAGGTTGCCAGGCCTCAGGCTCCAATGCCCAATGTACAGACAGCTCCACAGGCAACTGGCCGGCCGCCCCTAACCCTGCCAGTTGCAGATGGAGACGAGACCCTGCGTGGGCCCGGCCGCCCTAGACGGAGCTCTCAAAGCACACCTCCTTGGCAGAGGCTGAACTTCCACCTGCCAAGTCACTCCAGCCCATCCCGCCTCTCCCAGAGCTGGAGGCGTGGAGAGGAGCCGGGAAAGCGCAGCTGTGCACTTCGACTCCAGGGTGAGGGATCGTCCTGGCACGGGACCCAAGGCCTCCCTGTGGTGCTGGTCCAGGGGCAGCAGGAGGGGCAGCAAGGCCCTGCCCCAAGAGGGTAAGAGCAGAAGAGGCATCTGCAGGGGTTGTTCAGCCCAACACCTGGGGTTCCGAACTGGGGCCATGCAGGGGTGTGACCGCGGGTCAGGGACCCTCCTGTGTCTCTGTGCCTTGCCAGGGGCTCTGGCCTGGCCCTCTGCCCAGGGGAGGGGGCTTCTTAAGCCTTGGCTGCAGGGGTCCAAAGGGAAGGAGACCCTCTGTCTTGGGCAAGTCATGAGAATGGAGTCAGGAACCAGAAACCAGGTGAAGGGTGGGTGCTGGGGCAGGTGCTGGGCCCCACCTCCCTCCTTCCCTCCCTCCTGGCCTCCCTCCCTCCCTCCCCCAGCCTGCTGTCCCTCTCAGGGTGGGAGGGTTTATTTCCCACAAATCCTGCTTGCCCGCCCCCTGCCAGCAGCCAGAGAAGTGGGAAGTGCCTTGGTGAGCAGGAACTCAGGGCCCACGCAGCCCGGGAAGACCCACAAGGCAGACAGGCAAGGCCTGAGGTCAGGCAGGAGGGGAGGAGAGAGGGGCAGACACGAGTCCATCGTCTTTTATTCATTCTGTGAGGGAAGCTGCTAGACCTCACCTAGGAACTGAGTACACAGTGCTGGGGGGGGGGGAGGGACTAGGATGACACTCTATAATCTGACAGAGGTGAGGACACGGTCCGGGGAAGCGTCTGGACCCCAGGATGGCAGATAGGATAGGGCCTGCTGCGACCCTGCCCTGGACGCTGGCACCACGAGTACCTGGGTGTGCGATCCCTCGTCTCACCAAGGTCAGGGTGTGGAGAGGCCCGGGACGTGCAGAGCAGCAGATCTCAGTGACAAGCGTTGGGGAGAAAGAAGCAGAGGACAGAAGGTGCATGCCGCTTCTTCCTGTGCTTCTAGAATTTCAGTTTGCGACGACAGCACAGGTCAGCACAACCACTCGGACACGGCAGAGGGAAGCAAGCAGCCACAGACCCAGCGTCTGGTTCCGGAAAGCCAGCCTCAGAGTGGGGCAAGTCGCTCTACCCTGACTGGCACCTCTCCGCAGACCAGGTGGCCTCCGGGCTCCTTAGTCACTTTCTTGCTCGTGACACAGAGGCAGCCCCGGGTCTCGGGTCAGGGCTGGGCTCTGTGGCTCCGTGGCACCCCACGGCAGGCGTACTGCTCCACCAGTCCCCGCGCGGTGGATGCGCCTCTGCAGAGCTCCGGGATGCGTCCAGACCCTGACTCCAGAGTGAGCTGCAGCCCACAGACCTGAGTGTCAACCCAGGTCGGGGGCTTGAGTCCCACTGCCCTGCCTGCAGCCCCAGCCTCTGTAGCCGCCCATGCAGATGGTCAGCCCTGTGTGCCTGGCGCCCTCGGTCCTCTCTGCCTTGCCAGCCACGCCTGGCATCCAGCCCTGACTCCACACTGGAGCCCACAGCTCCTCAATCCCCACTCCCTGCTTTCTCTCCAAAGCCCCTGGATCCTGAGCCCCTGTAGTAACAACCATGCCAAGGGTCTCTGATGTTTATGGGCACGTCATCACCCTGGGATGTGGAGCCCAGGGCACCCTGGCCAGCAGGGAGGCGGGGCCAGGGGTGGGCAGGCCAGCTGGCCTTGGGGACATAAACCCTGACTGTGTCTCCATTTCCTCATCTGTCCAAGGGGTTCAGTGGTGGCCCCCATGCAGCAAAGCCGCTGTGGGACTAGACAGATGTCATCACACCACTCTGGAAGGGATAGGGAGGGATAGGCCAGTGGGCACCACTGTCTCCTTTCCCTAATCCCTTGCCAAGCTTAGCCCTGCTTCCCCTGAGCACCATCTTTACGTGCTGAGCCAGGTGCCTAGGACAGGACCACCAGGCAGGGGAGGGGCAGCATGGTCCCGGGCCGTGTGGTCCTATGGGGCTTGGATGGAGTCGCGTGGCAGGCCACGGGATGATGCAGGAGAGAGGAGACCCCCAGCACCGTACCCGTCGCAGCCTCTTGGGAGTGACCAGGCTTTTCCCATCATCCTCTGCCACGAGAGGGAGCACTGGGCCTCAGGCCTCTCCCAGCTCTGGCCCAGGCTGCAGCTGGATTGGTGACAGTGGTCTCACACAAGTGAGGTAGTGGCAACTTCCAGGCCCTTCCCATCAAGCCAGGCCCATGCCTGCCCTTCCCAGCCAGCGCCCCGAGGCCAGTCTGGCTCACTGGCCACTTGCTAAGAGGAGGGGGGGTGTCCTGGAGGAGCACAAGCGCAGCACCGGCCTCCCTGTTCCCCAGGGAGGGCTCATGCCCAACTGGCCCCAAGGAAACAATAGCCATGTCTGGTTCTGCACTGGACCCATGGCTACTCATGCATGTGTGAACACATGTCCTCTATATGGCCTCCTTCCTGCCTCCCAGCCTCCCAGGAGGCCCATCCTATTGGAAGTCAATGGCCCTCATCCTCAGGCCCCTCCCCATGTCCCCTTTGCAAGAGGGCTGCCATGCCTCCTCCCTCCCCCAGCAGCCTGTCTTCCAGAAGGTGAGGCAGAATGGAGCCTGCAGTGGCCCAGAGGGGACCCCATCTCCCGGGCTCTGTGGGTGGACAGTCCCGGCCACTCAGGATGCAGCAGTCTCTGACATGGGCACTGCCACCGCCCCACCTCCTGGGCCAGGCCAGCTTGACAGTCTCCTGGGCAGCACCTGGGTCTGGGCACTGATCAGTGATGAGATCCGAGCCCATCTGGCCTCACTGGTCCACTGGCATTGGTGTGGCAGGGCTGGACAGACTGGTGCCTCTCAAATCTAGGCTGTGGTGTGGTGGCCAGCACTATCTGTGGTGGCTGCTGCCGACGTGGCCTGGCTTCTTGCACATCTGTCCAGCTGGGGTCTCCTGAGGGATGGGGGGTGGGGACTACAGGAGTTGCCAAGGGACCTGAGCGACCATGAGCACTCTGCACAGTGGTGGCCTCATCCTCCCCCCCTGCCAGCTTGCCCCACCCCCTTCCACCCTACCCAGAATAGCACTGGCCCTGGCCAGCAGGCAGGCCAGACTGAATATAGCACAGCCCGTCCACCCCCACGTCCCTGATCCCTGCCAGCCTCAGGATACTGTGCCTCATACCAGGGTGGGGAGAGAGGAGGATGGGAAGGTGAAGGGGTCTAGCTGCGCACTGGGCACACACGCCTCCCAGTGCCCCAGGCAGCCTCGGGCACTGGAGGGACAGCAGGCCTGATGAGGTGCACTGCCCACTCCCCTGGCCAAGAGCTCTACAATTCTAACCTTGGCAGGGCTCCAGGAGCAGCTGACAGTGACAAGGCCTTCCTCCCCTTGGCTCACTCCATACCTGCCCTGGGCAAGAAGCCCTGCTGGGTCCTGCGCGGCCCCTAGCTGGCTCCTGATCTTCCCTCCTTCCACCCAGCACCTACCACGCTGAGTGGGAGCTTTCTGCATGGAAAAGGTGGGGGTTTGGCTGCTGCCCCCATGAAATCAGTGATCCTGGACTGCCTGGACCCCCTCCGGCTACAAACAGCACTCTGGCCCCTTCCCCCCACAGAGGAGGGCCCGGCACCTTGGAGGTTCAGGGTCACACAGCAGCCGTGTGAGAAGTGACTGTCATGGCCCTGAAGCGAGGCTCTACGGGCGGCTGGAGCTCAGCAGTCCTCCCTGACAGCCCTGCGCCTGGGGCGGCTGGAGCTCAGCAGTCCTCCCTGACAGCCCTGCGCCTGGGGCGGCTGGAGCTCAGCAGTCCTCCCTGACAGCCCTGAGCCTGGGGCGGCTGGAGCTCAGCAGTCCTCCCTGACAGCCCTGCGCCTGGGGCGGCTGGAGCTCAGCAGTCCTCCCTGACAGCCCTGCGCCTGGG